GGGGGTTCCACTCTCGTCCTCCAGTGTCTTAATTACTACTGTGAACCAATCATTGACCCAGGCTGCAGCAGCATCAATTAAGCAGTGAAGGATTCGTGAAACAGTCAAAGCTGCCTGTGTCGAGTCTCAGGAGGAGAAGGAGACAGCTGGTCTCTGTGTGGCAGCGCTGTCATGCCTGTTGCGTTTTTGCCCGGGCAGGAGACACAGGCCTGCAGGAGTCCGACTCTCCGCCGTTCAGCATGGGAGGCTGTCGCAGAGCCTTGAAAGAGAGGGACACACGACCCAGGCTGAGCTCTAGCCAGACTGTATAACCCCATTGCCGGAGATGGCTGCTGCAACACAATTTAGGCACGCGCTTCATTTTTAAAGGAAAACGGAATTTTGTGTGCGTGCTTCTTAAGCAACTGCCCCCCTGTCCTCAGCCATCATCCCAGCTGCCCCGCACTGCTAGGAGCCCAGAGAGCTGCCTACAAGGACAGCCGTCCCAGGGGCAGGGGCAGAGTTCACCGAGATCAAATGCTTCCCTTTGCTCTGGTCGAAGAGAGAACAGAGCAGTGCTGCTAAGAGCCGTCTCGTGAAGTAAGTGAAGAAAGGCCGTCCTCTCAGTCGGAGAGCCGCTGCAGTTTCGCCCCTCCGTGACAAAGACAGTCCCCAACAGGCCCAAGCTGGGGGGCCAGCCTGTGTCCCCGAGTCCCCCCCCACTCCTTAAAAGGGAGACGCGTAGGAATGTGAAATGCGAAAGACGCCGATCCCCCCTGGCCAGCCGTCTGTATCAGGTCTTCGAAATCAGGGGCTCCCACTGGCTCCCGGCACCTCGCTCTCCTCTCCTCCCGGGTCTTTGATCCGGCTCGTGCCCGATCGCCTGCTGTCACCCAACGGCAGCGTGTGGCCAGCACTTCACTGACACTCACCCATCGTCCAGCGCGACACGCCTCCCGAATAGACCAGTGAGAGCTGCAGCTTTCACAGTCAACTGGAACAGACCGCCAGAAACATCCTGTACACGTCTATGAAAATAATTCGATTAATTGACCATGCAGGCTGGAACAAACATCAGGGGACACCAGGCCTCCCAGGAAGGTGAGGCTGAGACCTCCACTGTGGTGTAGATTTTGGTACAGCTGTAAGTGTGCTGGTTAGATGGAAAACCTAGGCTCCCGATAGCACTTAATGTGAACAAGCAGTAAGATGAGTGCCATCTTTTTGTTTTTTCTGGCAATGTATGGTTCTAATTGAGGAACCTTATGTGCAGGTGTACCAGCTCCCTCTTGAGGTGAGGATGATGCTTTTTTCTGCACACGGCCCTCTCCCAGATCATGTGCCAGGAGAGCATGTTTTTCTAACCACTTTTCCAAGTGTTCAGCTCCTGCCTGCATTCTCCCAGGATACCTAGAGTTAAAGGGTTAGCTCTGCAAGGTCAAAGCCATAGGACTGCAATATCCCCTTGTTTCCTTGTACGTACATTATGTAGCTCGTTTTGGATAACTCATACACCCATTTCTGTACTAAATCAAACAATCGCACTGTTTCTGCAAATCTCAAGCGCCCCCCTCACACCCCCCCAAGCTCTGTAATTGAATACTGTCTGACAGGAGCCTGATGCATCGTGGTTCAGTCTGGCGCTACACTCTGGAGAGGAGGGCTCTGTCTATCAAAGCAGAACCGGGCATCCGAGGGAGGGTCAGTTCATGAAAAAGTGTTCAGGCAGGAGGAGAAGGATGTGCAGTACATGAAAGATGAACCTGCTGAAGCCCAGCAGCTGTGCATTAGAAGGAGGGGACAGGCTCAGCCAGCAGAGGGCGGGACTTGCAATAACAGCCACATGTTCGGGCACCGACTATCTCACGCGCTCGGACCCAGAGACTTCAGTCAGGCCACACGCGGTGTACATTTTTTGAAAAAAGAAAGACTGCCTAGGCTTTTCTCAGGATGTTAGTCAATAAGCTTTTTTTTTCTCTCTTTTAATGAAACTTGAGTTTTAAATAAAATTTCAGTAAGAAGCAAAAGTGTGTGTATCTGGTAATAGTGCAGCCTACGTCCTCTGACTTGATGTTCCACTTTCACTCGGTTCTTCATACACACCCTGCAATTCGATACACACTCTGGAGGCCGAAATGTGGCCTTAACTGTACAAAAACAGAACATGGTTCATAAGATATCAGCATCCAGCCCTTCCGTTCAGGGGTTCCATTCCACTCCATTTGCAACACTAAAAGACCAACACCAGCTTTAGGTTCAGCTTTGATTTCTAATACTCTTTATTGTTTTCCAACTGCAACAGAAAGAGATTATTTTAAATCCGAATCTGAAGAGTTCTATGAATGAAAGCTCTATGCTGCACGTGTGCAAAAATAAAAGTGGAGCTAATGAAGCAATTAACTCAAAATAAAGCCCTGCAATAGCAGGATTAGGAAGAGTCCAGTTAGACAAAAACCATCACCCAACAACCACATCAAGCTGATTGTCAAATCGTTTGCACTGTAGCAGCCTGCAGCCCAGAGCGAGTGGAGGGCTGTGTCCAGTCTAGCCCAAGGGGTCAAGGAAATGCAATCTAGAGAAGATAAGATCACTTTATTGGCCCTATACAATTTCTCGTATTAGGAATTTGTCTTTTCGCATACCCCAGCTTGCTCTACATGAGACACACAGACGGGGAGAGAAGCTGGGGGTCAGAGTGCAGGGTCAGCCATTTATACGGCACCCCTGGAGCAGCTGGGGTGAAGGGCCTTGCTCAGGGGCCCAACGGAGTAGGATTCCTCTGCCAGCCGCGGGATTTGAACCTGCAACCTTCCAGCCACAGGCGCAGATCCTGAGCCACAGAGCTACCGCACCGCCCCTGCATGGTTGGATAAGGGATCAGCCATATACATGCAGTCGCAGGCAGGGCAGCCTGTGCCACCCCAGCACCCCCTCGGGCACACTACCGCTCACGGCAGGAAGGAGAGAGGGAGCCAGCGCCGGGGCACCAGACCCACAGCTCTGAGGGTCTTGGGTTTCAGGAGACAAACCTACCCTGCTGTCCGCCGCCACTGTACGGCCCTGATGTACAGAGGCGAAACGAGACCGACCCACGATGCACTGCGGCACAAGTCCCGGCTCAGACCGCCCGGTCCTCCTGGCCGCCGCGGCGGCTCTCGCTGTCGCTGGTCTCCCCGCCCCAGCGGCCGCCGGGCTCCCGGTGGGTGCGCTCGTGCTTCACCAGGTTGGAGCGGTGGTTGAAGCCGCGCGGGCAGCGCGGGCAGCGGAACTGGCGCTGGTTGCGGTGGGTGCGGCCGTGCTGCAGGAAGGTGGAGCGGTGGGCGAAGCTCTTGCCGCAGCCCTCCTCGCCGCAGCGGAAGGGCCGCTCGCCCGTGTGCGTGCGCACGTGCTCCGTCAGCGACGCCTCCCACTTGAAGCCGCGGCCGCAGGTGGGGCAGCGGAAGGGGCTGTCCTGCGCGTGCACGCGCTCGTGCTTCACCAGGCAGGCGGCGCGCTTGAACGCCTTGCCGCAGGCGGCGCAGCGGAAGGGCTCGGCCGCCGAGTGCACGGCCTGGTGCTTGGTGACGTCGCCCTGCAGCTTGAAGCACTTGCCGCAGGTGGGGCAGGGGTAGGGCCGCCGGTCGGAGTGCACCAGCCGGTGCTTGATGAGGTCGGCGCAGCGGGTGAAGCGCTTGTGGCACTGCGGGCACTCGTACGGGCGCTCGCCCGTGTGGATCCGCTGGTGCTCCTGCGAGGAAAGGCAGGACAGGGGGCGTGAGACCACGAGGCAGGGAGGAGGGACCAGGAGGAGATCCCCGACGATCCCCTTCTTCCGGTTCAGGGTCGCGGGGGCAAGCAACAGGCGGAAGGCAGGGTACGCCCTGGATGGGGCGCCAGTCATTCACAGGACAGACACATACTCACACACTCACACTCGGGCAACTTTTCCTAGAACTCAATGAACCTACCAGCATTTGTTTGGACAGCGGAAGGAAATTGGAGCATCCACAGGAAACATGCAACATGCAATAACATGCAAACTCCTCACAGACAGCACCCCAGGTCTGGCTGGATTTGAACCTAGGGCCCCGATGCCGTGAGGCTCTGCATCACTGAGCCGCCCTGCTTTACTCCCACTTTCTCAAAACGCCTCACACAAGCGTTCGGAGCTCGAAGCACTGCAGGACACCCCTACGACCCTCGGTCAGTTTCGCGCTCTGATCCGTGGTCCAGTTTGCTGGGAGAAAGCTGCCCCAGTCCGGGATACTCAGATCAGCCGAGCACGAACAGCACGAGTGTCAGCTCCCCTTGCACGAGGGTCCCCGGAACGCCCACCTGGAAGCCAAGCAGGTGCTTGATGTCCTTGTCACAGACGTCGCAGTGGTAGACCTTTGGGATCGGCCTCCTGCGAGCGGCTCGCCGGCTGGGTTTCTTCTGGATCCTCCTGCTGGGGAAGTCTGTCGGGGAGTCGGAGTCCCAGTTGCTCTCGATTTCCACCGTGACCTCGGGCGGTTCTGGAGTCTCTGGCCACACGGCGGGGCCATCGTCTCCCACCTCCAGCTTCAGCGCCAGGACGTCGCTGCGCCCCTCCTGAGCCCATGGGTCTGGGGGTTCGGATTTCACCGCGGCATCACCGTTATCGGCGGGGTCGGGCTTCACCGTGACGTCACCCCGAGGCGCGTACTCACACTGGGTGGCGACGTCATCGAACCGCGGCGCGTATTCCGTCTTGACCGTGACGTCACAGCGGCGGACAAGCAGGTCACCGTCCCGTCCCGACACTGGGAACTCTTCCTCCTCCCTCTTCACCTTCGCAGCCATTGCTCCGTCTGCAAAAATCGCGGCAGTTAAGAAATTCAGAAAAGCATGCTTTAGGGCACCACCTGAAGGGAAGGGACTTATAGGCGGAGTAAAATATACATAAACGAAACGTGCAAGAGAATGGAGAAAAGACGGCAGTTTTGACAATAACAAAGTTATTTTTTCTTGATGTGGTTTAAGTTTATTATTTCTACTGTTGGGACCCACGCAAAAAGTGCAGAGAATTTATTGAAAGAGAACACAACGCCTAGGCTACAACAACAACAGCTGGTATCCATTCAGGAACGGCAGACGGGATAGCAGGACAGATCTCAACTCAAACACACCGCCGCAAAGCGGAAGTCTCGTCTCCGAGAGCAGCAGTTCGCCCTGGTGCCTTTAAAATGAATTTCTCATTCGAGTGCGCACACGCCGCGCCTGATTCGAGACTTACACTCATGCCTTCCTCGGAGATGTTTTGCCAACAGGTTGCATTAGGCTTACCTGGAAAAAACTGAACAAAACTCAGACGTTACTTTTTATTTCGGTACGCTAGGGAGGAGCAAAAAAAAAAAACAACTCATCACCCTCGAGTTGACCTTTTCATCAAGATTCATGATCCGGGTCACCCAACGGCGTCCATAGCGACAGCCACTCGCTCTGCATGGCAACCGACCGCTGACATGCCGGATTGTGTACAGCGCTTTAATACCGTAACAAGATCTTCACTGGTTTGATATTATATAAAGTGGCGGCGCTGCCCCTCGCTTAGGATTTAAAAAGACTGTGTGGAACGCAATTGTAACGTGTCTGTAACACAGCTGTCGAGCTCTGCCCCAAGTAAAAATGGCGCTTCTGATGGCATCATCGCATCAAAAAAAGTACTTCCGTTGATGACCAAAACAAACATGGCGGAGAAGCGGCGGTCTGGTGCAGTGGTGGTCGAGGAGGACTCAAAACCCCCCAAACCGGACACGGAGAGAGAGTTTCTGTCGCAGGTGGGAGTGGAGGGGCCGCTCCGAGGGGCGCTGCTGAAGCTGCTGGAGGCCAGGGCGGAAGACCCCATCGCTTTCCTGGCCGATCACTTCACGAATTTGGCGCAGGCATCCGAAAACGGGGCAGCGAGCGGCGGCTGCGGAGCGGAGCAGCAGCTCCGGGCGAGAGCGCTGTGGCACCTCGGCCTTGCCCATCACTCCCAGAGGTGACACACTCCGCCACCGCTCGCTTGCGTTTTCACAGCTGATCCTCCTTCCTGACGAGGCAGCCGCGTCTGGCTCCCAGCGTGCTGAGCTCCTCCTCCGTTATTTTGGTACAATCCTTGCAGTCTGAGGGGGAATACGTTATTTTACTTAGATGCCCACTTTGGTGCAATTTCTTATATGTTCCCGATTTAAATACGTAGTGGGACTTAAGTTCAAGTCGGCAGCCCTGTCACCCTGCAGCTCCCAGCTGGCCGCCCCACTGGAGCCCAGCAGGTGTGAGCCTGGCCAGTACCTGGAGGGGAGACTCCTGGGAAAGCTAAGGCTGTTGCTGGAAGAGGTGTGAGTGGGACCAGTAGGGGGCGCTCACCCTGCAGTCTGTGTGGGTCCTAATGCCCCAGTATAGTGACGGGGACACTGTACTGTAAAAAGGCACCGTCCTTCAGATGAGACATAAAACCGAGGTCCTGACTCTCTGTGGTCATTAAAAATCTCTCGAGTGTCTCTTGAAAAGAGTAGGGGTGTTACCTGGCCAAATTTCCCATTGGTCTTTACCAATCATGGCCTCCTAATAATCCCCATCTCTGAACTGGCTTCATCACTCTGCTCTCCTCCCAACTGAGAGCTGGTGTGTGGGGAGCGGACTGGCGCATCACCCAGGAGGGGGTACACACTGGTGGTGGTGGAGGGGATCCCCATTACTTGTAAAGCCCTTTGAGTGGAGTGTCCAGAAAAGTGTAAAAAAATATTATTAATTATTATGAAGTAGGTAATTATAAACTTAGTGTTCACAAAGTTCACTAAATCCTAGCAATTTAGGGCTCCAGGTTAAACTGTTGTGAATTGGCTTTGTGGTTTCCAGGTGGGCGCAGGGCTTGGGGAGGTGTTGGGATGGGGGCGGCGCTGTACCAATCGGCTTGCAGGGTTCAGGGGGAGTGATCGCCATGGTAACCTGGAGCAGGAAGAGGGTCATCCAGGTCTGGATTAACACGCCGCTTCTCTGAATGTGACGGTGGTCCGGCGTGGGCGATCCACGTGACGTAGACCACCGGGGCCCCTCCAGATCTCTGCACCCCAGAACCTTGCTACATCCAGCTGCTGGGTGGGCGCGGCTCAGCGCCGGCGGTGCCGGGCAGCTGCTGGGGGCGGGCAGGGCTGTGACGAGCCCATCAGTGCGGGGGGTTTCAGCTCCGCCTCACAGACTGAGGACCACCTGTAGTAGAGTAGTAGTAGAGTAGACCACCTGTAGTAGAGGAGCAGTATGCGAGCAGAGGAACAGGTGAGGCTTCTTCAGGAGTAGAGGAGTTTATCGCCATATGCTCATGTACACTGGAATTCTTATTCACACTGATCTCTCGGGACAGTACACCACTGCATGTAGAGAGTAGATCTATACGAGAGTAATATACGAGATTTAATATATTTATAATATACCCAGTATAATACAACAATAGACCAGGACAATAAATATGTAGGAGTGAAAAGAACCATTGTAGGCCGTGCAAACGGTGCACAGCGCAGACGTGCACTGATTGTGAGGCGCCGTGGTGAACCGGTCAGGGAGAACTGCTGGGCCTCTTGTGGGGGCCGGGACGGCCGCTGAACTGACCCGTCTCCCCCCCTCGTCCGCAGGTGCGCCTTCAGCAACAACGTGCGCCTGGCCTACGAGCTCCTGGCGCAGGGCGGCGGGCGCCGGCGGGGCGGGCTGCGGGGCCAGGCCTACTCGGAGC